GTCTCCAAAGAACCAACCACGAAACTGGAAATTATGAACCAACTGATTTTCGACAACGACAGGATCAGGGACGATAACATCGCCCCCTTCACCGCAGACGGTAGCCCAGGTTCATTTGGTCGAGCCTGGGTCGAGAGAGGGCTGTTCCTAATCAAGGACCTATGGGACGAAGAGTCGGATACCTGGCTCTCCCTGGACAACATCTGTCGCAAGCTACCGCACCTAAGAAACACCTAGTCGAACAGTCTCCGCATAAGAGCAGCCCTCCCTTCGCACTGGGAACACACTCTCAAGGCTGACACAGAGCATACACAAGGCACATGGCTGGTGAATCCAGGTGAGGAAGGATCCTTCTGGAAAATCCTCGGCCCGGACCTAGTAGACGGATTGAGAGCAGAGAAATGGGCCCTTGTAGATAAGAAGAAAAAAGTCGGCCGCCTACTTCGGGTGGAAAACCTGGTTATCCCGACCTCCTTATACGCCCAAGAAGCCAGGATTCTGATACCCAGCTCAGGAGTCGCCTCACTGATACCGTACAGACCGGCACCAGGTAAACCCGAGCCCCTCCTGCTAGGCTGGAACACCCAGTATCCGCTGTCGAACTTCACCCCCCCTGTATAACTACAAGACGAAGACAGGAGTACAGAGACAACGCCAAAAGGCCAAGAAAAAGTCGGCCGCCACAACTCTGAGCAGATGGTCGGAATCTCACCCCAACACAATCCTGGAACCAGGCCTACTGAATTTGTGGAAAGCTCTCAAAAAAATACCCTCCCAAAAACATAGTGCGATTATGTGGTTTCAATCATTGCAGGTCACCGCATCAGCTACGTGGCTCAACTCGAAGGGCTTGAACCTCGATACGACCTTCTCGAGGTGCAACTGGGGTTGGGAAACTTCTTCCCACCTTTGGTTAGACTGCCCGGTTTCTGCCCAGGTATGGGAATGGTGGAAAGAGCAATGGAAGACCCTGTTTAATGACCAGTTCGACTGGTCGGACTCTTGGATACTCTCGGGAATGCCCCCCACTGGCCACTCTCTTCAAGGACTAGGCTACGTCGCACTGGCATGCAGGGGGGTGGTTATGGAAGGGATCTGGTCTGCGCGCAACTCAAGAATTTTCAAGAAAAAAGAAGTACCCCTCCCCCAGATCACCTCCCGAATCAGGGCCAATATCCGACTCCTGATAATCGCGGACTGGTTGAGATCAGGGAAACAATCTTTCACTAACCAACTCAGAATTAGGAAAACCTGGGCAAAGGACAACAAAGGTAGGATCATTTTCTCCAAATGGTTAACCCAACCCCGTACATAGGGCCTCTGGCGGACGTTTTAGTCCATCGGTCGCAGGTCCGGGCCTCGAGGGGACTCAAAGCCTAGTAGGGGTACTCTCATAGAAAGATCAGACTTCCTACCTCCGGGGCTTTGCTCATCTGCTAATCAGAAGTTGGCAACTCAGGGACGCTGGACCCGGTTTCCAGCACAGGTGTAATTTTTTTGCCTCTGTTATTAATTTGGGACAGGAACAGTAGACCAATTGCTCCTAGTGTGAAATTTACATCTCAGGGACGCTGGTCCCGGTTTCCAGCACAAGCCTATTGCTTGTCTCCTTCTTCACTGTTGATCAGGTTTATTAGTCCAATTGCTAGTTTATTCAGAAGTTGCACCTCGGGGATGCTGGACCCGGTTTCCAGCCCAGGCCTATCCCTCCCTCCTTGGGCACTGTTGTTCAGTTTTATTAGTCCATTTGTGCGTTTATTAAGAAGATTGCAGCTCAAGGGCGCTGGACCCGGTTTCCAGCACAAGCCTATGATGGGCAATGCCACGGGTCACTGGCTACTCCGGGTTGAGATCATGTGGAGGGATTCTCGGCCTCCTTCGTATATTTATTAATGTAAAGCCTGCAACTTTGTTTTTTAGAAAAAAAAAAAAAAAAAGGACCAGTTAATCACCAAATTGTGATTAATTTATAATAGCTTTCATTAGTCGTTTCACCGCACACTTGAACCCGCCCTTCAAAACAGGCCCTTGAAATGAGGTTTGCGGCTGGATGTACCAAAATTGAAAAGCCGTGTGAGGGCAATGTCCTTGATGCACCTTGCACGACTGAAAAGTTGTCCGCCCCACTGCAAGCCCGTGAGACACCCCGCAGTGGGTGCCCCGAAAAAAAATCAATGAAAAAAGAAAAAACGAGATACCTGCGATGGGGTGAGGAAGATTTGAATTCGAAAAGAATGACCGCCACCACCCATCAGCATGAGGGAAGCAGGTGGGTGTGCCATAAATGAAAAGTACTTGTCTGTGTACTGAAGCCGGTCCTCCGCTCACACTCGTCCTGCTGTTCTTGACACAATCGCTCCATAGTTGCGCTGTCTTCGTCTCGCTTCACGCCTGTGTTGGCGTCACAGTGGAGTCGAGAGCGGTGCGCTTTTGTGGAGGACTCTTGTTGATGAAGGATGGAGAGCTTTAAGGATGATCGGGCGGACGTGCAGGAGGGGGGTGACCTGACAGATGGAGCAAAAACCGTGCTTGTGTCTACGCTCATGACCGTGTGCAGACATGTGCATGTGGCTTCGAGGTTTTGTGTGCCTTCTTCACGTCCAACATTGAAAAGGCAACTGCTCCTCGCGCAGGCTATGGCTGACACGTCGGCATCTGCCACATTGTGGGATGCTCCGTTCATGTTAATCAACACCATCGTAGCCAGTGTTCTGCCGTCGGAGACTCCTCGTTGATGGATGTAGGGGAGAACGGGAGGGACGTGGTAGGACCTTTGCATATGTATGTGACGAACCACTTTCTGTGCCGTGCGACTTTCTGCGCGATGACAATGAGGGGTCCTGAGATGGAAGGGTTGGGCAAATTATGGGGAGTGAGATCGGCGGGTAAATTGCGTCGGTGTCCTCGCTTCTTTCTTTTCCTTCGCTTAGCTTTTTCCCTTTCGGCGGTGATGGGACAGGCCCGGGGCAGACGGTTGAGTGTGCGTGCCCCGTTGAGCGCGATCAATAACGATTGGCGGTGGTTCTTTCTTGCTCTGCTGGGAGTAAAAGGGGGGAACTGAGATTTTTGGCGCGATGATCGCGCGGGAGCTCTCCGGTTTTCTTTTTAAATTTTCCTTTCAACTAATGACGAGCCCCCGAGGGCTCTCGGGATTTTGATTTCTTTTACGTTTTTTCTTTGCTTTTCTTTCGTCTCGTCGGAATTTTTCTGTTGATGTTTTGAGTTCAAACAGGAATTTAGGACTTTTAGATTTCTTGTCGAGCGGCACCTCTTTCTTGCACGCATCTTCCTGCGGCGGGAACGAAGTTCTTACTAGACGGCGCCTTAATCTTGCATGCAGCTGTAATTTTTCGGCGGGCGCCATTGTAACTGTATTTTTTTTTTTTCGCCTTCTTACCGCCTCCTTCTTTTTCTTTGCTACGTCTGATTGGGCGACGCGCTGCATGATCGGATCGATGCATGGAGTGTGGCTCGTCCCCCATGCCGCGGTCTGGCAATGCAGAATGCAGGCATTGCCTTCCCTTCTCCTCTTTCCAATCCCTGCAATCTCACACTCTTTGCACACGCATGCATGCTATAAATTTTGGCGTCGCGATTAGACAGCTCTCTTAAAAATTTTTGGAAGCTCGAGGTTAGCGCGATCAATGAGGGTCGGCTAATGAGCAAAGTAAAAGGTGAGTTGATGAAGGAGTTGTTTGACCCGACGAGCTGGTGCCAAGTGCGCGGGGTTGACGTGTAGGCCACGACGAACTGTGGCGCACGGGTGAGCCTGACGGGCGCATGCAGACTAAGCGGGGTGACAACTTCGTTGGTGGGTGCGAGACGACGGACTGTCCGCATCGGGAAAGAAGAAAGAGCAAAGAGAGATGGGTGTGGGAGTGTAATCTTTTCTTGTCCTTTCTCAGTCCTTGTACATAAAATTTTGGCTACGGACGAGACGCCCCTGTTTTACATTTCGACGTTTCTTTCGGCTTGCTATCGTGGGATGTATGGGTTTAATGTCTCTCCTTCCTGTTTTACTTTGTACTCGCTCCATGAGATGGACTTGATGATCTGGCAATGCTTGAATACCCAATGTTTGGTGCAATACCCTTGGGATCTATCCCCACTTTGATGATTGGCAGATGAAAGAAGTTTGATGTTGTTGTAGTGCTTGGATGTATGTCTGGATGGCGATGAGATATCCACAGGCCATGTCATTTTGTGAATCGAAGGGAGTTGTGTTGCGTATCCGGGAGGGGGTTTCCACCTGATGGCCACATAACTGCTTTTTGCTCGAACAAAAATGGATGAGAGATTATTGCATGATTGCATGAACCTTCTTTTGCATAGGTGATTGGCTGATAGATCGATCCACAACGGACCAACCCCGCGAGTCCCCGTGTAAGGGCGATCTGACGAGCACGACTTACACGCGCACCCACGAGGCCGGCTAGCAACCCCGAATGAACTTAGCACGACAGATCTCGATACGAATGATGGAATCCCCATCTGCGGTAGGGGTCGGGACAAATTAAGGTCCCGACGCCCTCCGGCATACGGGGACCGCTAGGTGTGTATGCTTTGTGAAAGTCCAAAATGGAACGAGATTGATAGCCTGAGCGAACTAGCTGCATGGTTAGTTGCGCAGTTTAGGATCTGATCAACTGGTCGGTGCGCACGCACGTGTAAGACAACAGTCGTCCGTGGATTTGCCGTCTACACGCGCGCTTGCAAAAGCCAGCTACGACCTCGCCCCGTAGGAAGATATGTGTGCATGAATTCGGTTGAACAAGACATGGCGATAGATTCCCCTTTCTGGATCACCGATCGCGAAAGCCTGAGGGACCCAGAATACCGAGCGTATTGGGAGAGAGAACAGATCCGCCGGCAACGGATCCGACAACATCGCCACGTATGGAACCCTTAGCACCTTGAATACCCCTGCCGGACTGAAAACGAGCGACTGTGCAGGGGCAGTAGGTTCGATGCTGATGGGGATTTGCAACGTGGCAGTAGGTTCGATGCCTGATGGGGATTTGCAACGCGCCGGCCACGTTTCAGCGAGCGATGAACGTGACGTTTCAGAATTTTGTTAACAAGACTCGACTGACGCAGGGGATGATCAATTTCTGCGGCATTGTGTACATGGACGACATCCTGGTCTATTCGGAACCCTACCACGGGCACGCGCAACACATCGAGTGGACGCTAGGAGCCTTGAGGGACGTCGAATTCAAGATCGTGTTGGAGAAAAGCGAGTTCTTTCTCCCGGAGATTTCGTTCCTGGGCTACGTGGTGACTCGGGGTGGTTTGCGGCTCGATTCGCGAAAGGTCGAGGCGGTCCGAGACGCTCCGACTCCCACGTCGCTGATGCAGGTTCGAGCCTTCCTCGGACTGGCTTCGTATTATCGACGATTTATCAAGGGATTCGCCGCTACCTCACGACCGTTAACGAACCTGCTATGGAAGGACCAGCCCCTCAGTTGGGACGCGGAGTGCGATCGGGCCTTTGTCACTCTCAAAGAGGCCCTGGCCACAACACCTATTTTGATCCGGCCGGACCCAACGAAGCAGTTCATCCTTATTACGGACTGGCAGCCTGAGGCAATCGCCGTTATTCTGGCACAGAAAGGGAACGACGGATGTGAGCACGTCATCGAGTACGCCTCCCGTACTGTACCAGACGAACGAAGGAATGATTCGGCCCCGCAAGGAGAGTGCTATGCGGTGGTTTGGGGAATCCGGCACTTCCATCTGTATCTGTACAGACATAAGTTTCTCCTTGTTACGGATCACAAGCCGCTATTGGCCCTTAAAAGGCTCACAAATTACACGGGCATGATTGGACGGTGGGCGGTGCGGCTACAGGAATACGATTTCGACATCATCCATCGAAAGACAGAGAGGCATGAAAATGCGGACGGGTTGACGCGACTGCATCGTCCAACGAAGGTCGCCAAGGGCGAAGAGATCATCCCGTGGAAAGAACCGGAGCCAACCAGCGGACCCCGGTACGGACAGGTGGCAGTTATCCCACACACCGTGGAATAAACACGTGGCAACGCTCCTCTCTCTCCCCTCTCGTCTTCGTCTTTTCTCTCCTTACCCGACAAATTTTGTTATTTTTGTGAAGCGGTCTCGCGGGTCTACTCAGTCACTATGCATCCTGGTGGGGATGGGTATGCCGAATGGGTAGATTATCGGTAGTGTGTGTCAAGAGCCCATGGCTTTTGTATCCAATACCGAAGCGACAATAAGCCTTGGCTATGCCCCCTTTGTCGGATTGATAAAATCCCGACCGAGGCTCGATTCCTCGACGTCACGTCAGAAGGATTAGAAAAAACTCAAAGGTTTAGAAGGGCTGAAGTTTGGACCGATGTCGCTCTGATAGCGACCGTAGTGGGGAATCCCCTCCAAGGCTTCACTAGGGAGGACCGGAGGAGGGCCAATCAAAGGGCTCGGGATTATCGATGGAACGAGGGACGGTTGGAAAAATGGAAGGGACGGTAGTGGGATTTGGATGACTTTACCGCACTCGTTCATGAGGTATGACTGGGTTAAGTCATCCCACGAGGATACCGCAGCTCAGTTCGCCATCTGGCTCACCGAAACAGAGATCGACAAAAACGAATGGTATTGGTCCAATATTCGGGACGATGTCAAATTCATCGTCCGAAACTGTAAGGTCTGTGTCGCTGACAAGGCGCCGATCCAGCCGCCAAGATCGATAGTGCCCGCAGTAGTCGAGCGGCCTTTTCAAAGAGTTCGTATGGACACGACCGATATAATAGTGCCCCCTGGACCGAATAGCTGCGAATATTCAATTACATTGGTATTCGTGGATCGTTTTTCAAAATGGATAGGCGTACCCATGCTGAACGCGACAGGCGGCTGAAATCGCGCGATACGTCAACCGTTTCCTCGGGATGCATCAAGACACCGAGGAAATTCTGACGGATAGGGCAGAGTTCAGGGGGGAAGTTTTGAGGAATCTTGTCATACATGGGGTCGCCATTCGTAACACCACACCTCACATGTCGCAATCGAACGGACTGGTAGAAAACGCGAATCGAGTGATTAAGACCGCCCTTCGACGCAATATCGCGGCAAGGGATACGAGGCCCTGACCCGATATTGTGGACCACATTCTGGCGGTCCATCGAGGAAAGCCCCACGAGTCCACAGGCCTGAGCCCCTTTCAACTACGTAACAATAGCTTGACATGTGTCTCAATGCCGAGCCTTGAAGATGAATCCGCCTTGGATCGACGGCCCACGAGGGCCACGGTCCGGGACAAGGCCAAGCGACACTTGGAATTAATGGAACGATCCTCCCGGTCCTCCCTAGGTTGGCCCGAAAACGACAGCGGATGACTGAATTGGCCCACAGATGACAAATCCGTAGCTACGAGGCCCAAAACGGGAACGCAGGACCACGACCCCAGTACAAATTAGGGGACATGGTGCAGGTGAGGAAATGTGCTCGCCAGGGCAAGCTAGCGCCACGATTCTTTGGGCGATTTCGCGTGGTCGAGCTCAGTCCGAACGGGGTGAACACGGTGCGATTGGTGCTCGAAGTCTCAGGCTGATCGGCCCGCCCGATCGTCCGCCACGTGTCCTACCTCCGCCATCTCTCATCTCCTTCTCCCCCTTCCTCAACCAGGTCGATCTCGGAATCCGAGTGGGAGAGTGGCATTCCCCATTCTTCTTCTTCTCCCCACTCATCGTCTCCCTCCTCGTCACCATGAGTTTTTCCACGGAGCAGGTTCTCAGTGAACGTATGCTGGCGCCACGAGGGAACATCTCGACGATCCGGCAAGTCCATCATCCGCGCATCAGCCCAGACGTTCTCATATTCGCGCGGTTCTTCAGCACTGCAGGTGTGCACGCGGCAACGGAATTTCGCTTTGTGATCCCCAACAACCGGACGCAGGTGCTGGCCGAAGCATCGGCTTATCCGCGACTCTCGGCACCGGGAATCAGCCACATTTCAATAGTCGTCTTCTTCAGCGGGGATCTTAGTACGGTGGATCCCAGAGCACATACGACCATCCTTACCTCGTTGAGAGCGTGGGGCGAGGAATTGGCGCAGGCTTGGAGCCAGTTACTTGCTTGGCGAGGGGAGAACGTCGTCAATACCAACAGTATTGATGCTGGCAGCATCCGCACTCTCTCGCACGAGCCGACAGTTGCTATCCCTACGCTTGTCCCCTTTTCGCGCCCTCAATGAATCGCTCCCAATTCTCTACCTTCAGCCTCCCCTTTGTTTTCCCTACTTTCTGGCAGTCAGCCCTCCATCCCCGACTCTCTTTCTGCATACGGCCGCTTACAGTCCCGCTCATCAAGCCGTTGCAGTGGGAAATATGGTGTGAGAATTACTCCACCCTTTCTCTGTGCCTAGTCGGGATCGAGCTAACATGGACTCGATATAGTGAGCACCGCGCCGTGAGTGAGAACGTGGAGCTGCTTATCATCCAAGCTTGGAGGACAGAGGTGGAGGGAGACCTTCTCGGATTCGTCTTCAGAACAGTAGACCCAGGACATCGGCAAACGATCATGTGGGAGCTCTTGGTCCCCTTCACGCAGTTGCTCGACGATCTTCCAACCGACATCGTCTCGCATTGCGATGAGAATCCGGCGCCGCACATTCTTTCGCGGAGTTTAACGCCGTACTTGCAATGGTCGGCCTGTCTCGAGGATCGCGGGGGAGGCGGTAACTACCCATCGCGCGCGGAGTATCTGAATCCCCGTGGGATAATCGATGTTCTTTTCTTTCAACCCCGAACGGTGTCGGAAGAGGAAGCGGTAGAGGAAGAAGAGGAGGACGAGGAGGAAGAAACCCCTGAAGAGGAGGAAAGTTACAACGAGTATAGCGAGCAAGAGCCGGGGGCGGTGAGCGAAGAAGAAGAAGAAGAAGAAGAAGAAGAAGAAGAAGAAGAAGAAGAAGAAGAAAAAGAATCCGAGTGTGAAAGTTTGGAAGGAGAGGCCGACCAGGCGGAAGTCCAAGAAGAGGATCCCGTGGCAGCCATGCAAAGGAGGGAAGAGATAGCAGCAGGAAAGCGGCCGTTGGAGCATTCAAGCGACACAAATTTGCCAATCCTGGACAACCCGGCCAGAGATCCCGAGCCGCCCGCGATTGAAGATGAGCTCCCTCCTGCAGAGACTTCGAGTGCGCCAGCGCTGAGGCGACAAAGCCAATCCCCCTCCCCTTTCCCCCGTCCCTCAGTTCGAACACGTGGGGATGCGGGGCATCGGGCTACTTCCCCGGTTGTTATCCCGTCGTCCCCTTGACTTTCTGACCCTCCGGCAGATCGATACCCCGCTCTCCTTCCCTCGTAACCCCTTCCCGACTTCCACCTTCCATCACTTCTACGCCACTCGCCTCGCTGTCACGGTGTATCCGCACCCCACCACGAGATGCGCCTCCTCCTCTTTCTCCCTCCACGTTCTTCTCTTCAGTGCCCCATGGCGGGGACACAACATGGTCGAAATCTCCTGCGCGATCACGCGAACTATCCCCGTGTGCGCAGACTATGATCGGTTCCGCACGGCCTTGCTCTGCACCTTCCCGACCCTCTATCCCGACTACCTCGCTTCTCTCCCTCATGGTGGTCGCCGATTCCCCCGCATACATCGCATTGTCAGATATCAAGAGTTGCCGGCGACGGTAGCGGGAATGGAGAATTTCTTACCTCTTGTCCCGAGTGACCCTCCCCCTCGCCATGCCCCCATGTACAGAATCCCTTATCCTCTCCCTGCGGGTTATTAGTGCGCCATCGGATCTGATGACGTGTCAACGGGATGATATCCACACTCATATCCTACGGTAATGACAAGTGTAAATTGGGAAGACCCCCCCCCCCCACCTCCTCCATCCGTGGTCAGATTGCCCTTCCCGAGGAACTTGTAGGATAGAGCCCGCGTATGCCATGTTGGATGACTTCCACACTCTTATCGCACGGTAAGTGGCACATAGAGAGCTCCACGTCGTTGATCGATTAGAGAGATCGGCACGTGTCGCAACATCGAGCAAGCAGGAGCTTGCTCAAGATTGGAACCCCCTGGGCGTCACATATGTGACGAACCACTTTCTGTGTCGCGCGACTTTCTGCGCGATGACAATGAGGGGTCCTGAGATGGGAGGGTTAGGCAAATTACGGGGAGTGGGATCGGCGGGTAAATTGCGTCGGTGTCCTCGCTTCTTTCTTTTCCTTCGCTTCGCTTTTTCCCTTTCGGCGGTGATGGGACAGGCCCGGGGCAGACGGTTGAGTGTGCGTGCCCCGTTGGGCGCGATCAATAACGATTGGCGGTGCTTCTTTCTTGCTCTTCTGGGAGTAAAAGGGGGGAACTGAGATTTTTGGCGCGATGATCGCGCGGGAGCTCTCCAGTTTTCTTTTTATATTTTCCTTTCAACTAATGACGAGCCTCCGAGGGCTCTCGGGATTTTGATTTCTTTTACGTTTTTTCTTTGTTTTTCTTCCGTCTCGTCGGAATTTTTCTGTTACAGTTTTGAATACAGATAGGAATTTAGGACTTTTTGAATTTCTTGCCGAACGATGCCTCTTTCTTGTGCGCATCTTCCTGCGGCGGGAACGAAGTTCTGGCTAGACGGCGCCTTAATCTTGCATGCAACTGTAATTTTTGGGGGGGCGCCATTGTAACTGTATTTTTCTTCTTTCGCCTTCTTCCCGCCTCCTTCTTTTTCTTTGTTACGTCTGATTGGGCGACGAGCTGCATGATCGGATCGATGCATGGAGTGTGGCTACGTCCCCCACGCCGCGGTTTGGCAATGCAGAATGCAGGCATTGCCTTCCCTTCTCCTCTTTCCAATTCTTGCAATCTCGCACTCTTCGCGCACACATGCATGCTATAAATTTCGTCGTCGTGATTAGATAGCTCTCTTAAAATTTTTTGGAAGCTCGAGGTTAGCGCGATCAATGAGGGTCGGCTAATGAGCAAAGTAAGAGGTGAGTTGATGTAGGAGTTGGGTGACCCGACGAGCTGGTGCCAAGTGCGCGGGGTTGATGTGTAGGCCACGACGGATTGTGGCGCACGGGCGAGCCTGACGGGCGTATGCGGACTAAGCGGGGTGACAACTTCGTTGGTGGGTGCGAGACGACGGACTGTCCGCATCGGGAAGGAAGAAAGAGCGGAGAGAGATGGGTGTGGGAGTGTAATTTTTTCTTGTCCTTTCTCAATCCTTGTACATAAAATTTTGGCTTCGGATGCGACGCCCCTGTTTTCCATTTCGACGTTTCTTTCGGCTAGCTATCGTGGCATGTATTGGTTTAATGTCTCTCCTTCCTGTTTTACTTTGTACTCGCTCCATGAGATGGACTTGATGATCTGGCAATGCTTGAATACCCAATGTTTGGCGCAATACCCTTGGGATTACCCAGCGCTTGCAGCGCCGATCTATCCCCACTTTGATGATTGGCAGATGAAAGAAGTTTGATGCTGTTGCGGTGCTTCAATGTATGTCTGGATGGCGATGAGATATCCACAGGCCATGTCATTTTGTGAATCGAAGGGAGTTGTGTTGCGTATCCGGGAGGGGGTTTCCACCTGATGGCCACATAACTGCTTTTTGCTCGAACAAAAATGGCTGAGAGATTATTGCATGATTGCATGAACCTTCTTTTGCATAGGTGATTGGCTGATAGATTGATCCACAGCGGACCAACCCCGCGAGTCCCCGTGTAAGGGCATTCTAACGAGCGCGACTTACACGCGCACCCTCAAGGCCGGCTCGCAACCCTGAATAAACTTAGCACGACAGATCTCGATACGAATGATGAAATCCCCATCTGCGATACGGGTCGGGACAAATTAAGGTCCCGACGCCCTCCGACATACGGGGACCGCTAGGTGTGTATGCTTTGTGAAAGTCCAAAACGGAACGAGAGCCCCGACCGTTAGCCAAAATAATTTCCCTCCACTATCCTTTCGACGACTGAGGGAGTGTCATCCCGCCAGGTAAGCATTTCTTGAACCTAATCCATTTTTATTAACCAAATTCGGATGCCACACACATATCACCCTTGCGCCGAGATCATGCGATCTTCCCTGTATCGTTCCAATTTTAATATATGTCTCGAAGGACACGGCCTTTGCTGGGGCCTTGGGATATCATCATAGACTGACCAGCCTCAAGCAATTAGGAATAACTTTATTATGGTCATCTGATAATATCTGGATTCGAACCTAGGTCTGTATTTCAACATTTCAAAGGTGCACCAATGGAGGTAGGCGAGCTGGTCTCGACACCAGCCCCCCACTCTGTACTGGAATCGGTGTCTGTCCCTAAGAAGATGAGACAAAACAAAAAGTTTAGAAAAAAAAAAAAAAAAAAAAAAAAACCCTAAGAAGAGGGAGGGGGAGAGCCCTCCGACACCCCTCGGTCCCGTGATCAGTCCTAAGCCTAAGGCCGTTGACCAAAGACCGAGGGGGATAGCCTTGTCAAACCCTCAACCCCTTGGTTCCTTCTAAGTGCACAGCTGCTCCATTGCCGCTGGTCGCTGACATCGATCCCCAAACCTCCATTGTATCAGTCTACCAACGTAACCAGTAGTACTAGGCTCAAGGCTGAGCATAATAGATGCAAACTCTACTATAAACTGCTCTTGTGCTGTACACGGGCCTACCGAATCGCCCAAAGTCCACACCTTACCCGAAGCGCCTAGCCGCACTTATAGCCTAATGTACGTACTCCGTTTTCGCTTGCCTTTGCCGAGGTCGCGAGGGATTTGTACTGGCGGCTAGACACCACAAAACGCCCAATTGTATCGTGCGCTTCACGGACTCCAAAATCCCTCTGAATAAGGTGAAAGTAAACACATGTTAAAGCTTGCGGCACCGTTGGTCAAACCTGACGGTGATCCTAAGAGCATCTTCTCCACGCGCGCACATGCGCCACATAACACCGTGTTGATCAAAGAAAAAGATCATTTAGCCCTAATTAAATAAAAAATCAAAAGTTGACCGGTAATTGTGCCGGTTCTATAATATTATTAAGAAAAGATCACGTGCGCCTTAAAAACTGCGCGCCCACACACTTTCTACTCGCTTCAAACAGTCTCACAAGCTTAGTCACAGAAAGAAAAACGGCCGTGGCTCACACGACACTCCTAACTTTCAACTCAAGATCATTTTTTGTCACTTGCAAATATCAGGGTGAATACCCTTGTAAGGGTATTTGCGCCGACAACGTCCTTAGGACAAATAAATTTTAGACTTAGTACTTTCACCGTCGCTCGCCCCTGTTACCTCACCAAACACGGGAGGAGACCGGTCACACCGCGGCTTCTCACAGTCGTAATGCCACAGTCGTCCGGACTTAGGTTCAAAAAATTTTAGTCTCCTTGTCATAGGGTTGGTTCGAATAAGCCTTTAACAGACACATTTCTCATCAAGTCCCTCAATTCAATGAAAAGCTCGGACAACGTCCAACATTGAAAATCCCGAGCAGAAACACCATGGAGATCGAAATGCAGATGAAGGGGAGTGAGGCAGCATCACCAAGGACCCAACACCACACGTACTCCAAGACTGCAGAATTAAGAATCAGGCACAGTTACTACAGTTGGGGTATACCCTCAGCGGACTGCCTGGACTGAACTGGATTGGTACTGATGGCGGGACCCGATCGATTGAAGACACGGCCTGTGAGATGAGGCCAACGGGCTGGTCCCATAGGCTGAACAGGCACAAAGCCAAATAGCCCCAGCTATGGGCCGGGGTAAATAGAGTACCGTCGTATTCTCTGTCTGTCTGTCTGTCTCTCTCTAGTGTGGGAGCATTCGCAATCAATCTTGTGTGTGTGAGAGAGAGAAAGAGCACTGTGGGGGTGTAGGGCGAGGTTCCATGTTGGAAATGGGCTCTGAATACGGCTCTGCCCTCTTTTGTTCTCTCTTTCTCCCAATTAAAAAAAAAAAAAAACATAGTAATAAATTAATAATAATAATAAAATAAAATTGGACCCTGAAGACTGAGTTGGAAGATGCCTTGGCCTCTTAGCATTCCGATTCAAACTATGCATTTTTGGGTCTACTTGTCCACACAAGCTCTGACAGGGGAACTCCCCTCATCCCCAACTGACTTTGTTGCAAGAGGGTTCTTTCTCGGAAAATGAGAGCATAGACATGCTCAAAAGAATTTGGCAGAAGTGGGAGCTAGACAAGTCCTGGAGAGCAACTTCTCTAAGCATGTCCACAAGCTTTTCTTCTTTGAAAGGGCAATAGCCTTGAGATATCATTGCACAGCAAGCGTGATTGCTTAGGTGGCGAAAACATTGATATATCCTGGGAGAGGTTGTGGGTTCGAGGTTCGGTAGGAGGGATTATTGGGCGCCACCTCTGAGAGGACACTTCTATGTTAGCATAGTGCTTGTGCCCATAACCAGTCTTCAGGAGAGTGAGG